GGGCTACTTGGGACGTTCCTCCTAAGAGTTGGGTCCTATTTCTATTCGCCATACCTACTCCAGAGCCTTGGAGTGGCGAAGAGGCACTCACTAAAGGGTCTGAAAAAGTGGACGTAGCATTCGTCAAGCTAGCCAAGTCAGAAGTTGGCATGCCATAGAGTGGTTCTCGATTATGACCGCCTGTCATAAATCCTGGGGGAACGAAAGGCCTTGTGCCTAAATTTCCCCTTGGTGGGGGAGTTCCCAAAGGCACTCTGGGGCCTGTGAACGGAGGTAATGGCCCCGTTGCTGTGACCGTTACTGCTGGTGTCGAACCAGCGGTTATCGCTTCACTTACGGTCGGGATAACCGTTGCTCCCACATTCGTTTGTGGGATTTCATTATTGTTTGGCGGATTCGCCATCTCTTCCCTTCTTCTGGCAGTATTGGTATCGTTAGTATATATTCTACCACTTCTCAATAACATGCAACACTCCTCGAAAAGATGAGATTATTTTCAAGAATCAACACACGGTCCCATCAGGTGTGCCAATTTGTTTACCGTGGTTATTGGTAAACAACCGCTGATCCTCCAAATGGTTACTTATTTGGTTACTCGCAGGATCGATCAGATTGATCCTAGGACATAGGTTGATTTTGAGGTTTTGATTAAATTGGATAATGGTTAAATGACAATAAAATAAAGAGGCTTTAAGTAAATTGCATGAAGAAGTAGGCTTGGTAAAATAAATGAAGGCTTAAAGTAAAGGACTTCGACAGGAAAGTAAAGAAGAAAGCAAGTAAAGTTTCTGGAAAAGTAAATGACTTTGATTAATAAAGTTGGTGTTTCACACATACATTTCTCAACAATTCTTTCTCACACGCTGGGTACTCGAATCTATATGAGTGACTTTGTATATTATTGTGAACACACCCGAGAAACTGCATGAACTACTACTATTTATACTAAAACATCCCAAGTAACCGTCGGGCAGTTACACTGCTTCGAGGTGATTCCACTTGGCACGTTCTCAACGTTCGACGCTCCAGATCTTTGCACGTTGCACTTGGTAACCGCTGGAAACTGTTTTCCCTCCAAATGCTTGAATTTCAAACCGTTCCACTCTGAACCATCGAACACCTTCGTCGAGAAGCATCTTCGACGATAAACACCTTCGACGTCGAAGGCAACCAACTTCTCCCTTGGAAGAAATCTTCTAAGTACATTGCCATCTTTCGATGGGCTTTTCGACGGACCTAGCTGGTCGAAAACATCCCTCAGCCTTAATGGCTGACATTAATGAAACAAGGGTGTCGAATTTAAGAGCCAACAGAAATAGCGAGCAATCGTTCTACAAGACGAATTTCAAGAACACCATGTGTCGTAGAGCCTACATTTCTTGAGAAGAAGATGAAGATTCTTCCTCTTCCAAATATAATTCTAATGGAGATGATATAGCTCATTGGTGTTTAATAGCGCGTCACAAGAAAACGTATTTGGAGGTAAGTGATTCCAAGTGATTATGATTCGCGTTCTATATGTTATTATAATGAGCTATATAAATTTTTTCATGAAATGCATGTTGAAGCTTTAACCTCTTTTAAGAAAAAATTTCTTCAAATGATTTTTTTTAAAAACTTGAAGAAGAAATCTTAAAACTTTAAAGTGCTCTAGAGTCCTTGAAAGAGGAATATATATCTCTTGTAAATGATCATTGTGTATTCGTTACACATTAGAATAAAAGTTAGAAGTAGTTAGGCATGATAACGGGACGGGTCAGGAACGATTTTTACTTCCCCCAAACCCAAATATGAATCCCCAAACAATTCCTATTTCCCGCCTCAATCCCCATCGAGGATGGATAATTAAAACTCAAACCCGTTTCGAACGAGTTCGGATTGAGTTCGGATATCCCCGTGCATACCACCTTTCATTTAGTGAAATCAAATTTTTAATAGAAATATTTATTTTATTATATTACAAATAATAAAATAAAATAATCTCAAAATATTCCATCCATACATTTCAAATATTTTAAATAATAAATATAAATCAAAATGTCAAAATATTAACCACATATTTAATATTATAAATTATAAAAACTAAATAATAAAGTATATAAGGAAATAAACGGGGGCGGGTTCAGGGACGGGTTTATGGTGGATATTAGTGTCTCCATTACATGATTCATCCCCATATTTTGTAATTAGAGAAAAAACAGATTCAAACCCGAACTCAGACAACGTGGGTTTTTTCCGTAAAATTTGGAGCGGGTTCGATTGAGTATCTACGGGTATGAGTTATGTTGACATGTCTAGAAAGAGTTAATTGTGATACATGTCCTAGTTAAAAATCAAAATTAACAACTTAAAGGATAAAAAACATAACTCTCCAAAATACCTATTACTTATATGAGTCCAAGTGATAAAGGAGAAAGCTTTAGAAAATCTAATTAAAAAAAGACCTATGTCACTAGGAGAAATATAAAGAATAATTCTCCTAAAGTGATTTGTCACTATTGTAGTGAAAAAGACACATTAGACCCCAATGTCACATTAGAAATGTTAAAGCTCCTAGTGGTCTCCTGACATGGGTACCTAAAGGTCCTAATACTAACCCTAAAGATCCAAAACAAATTGGATACCTAAATCACCTTTTTGATCTCATGTATGAATATCTTACCGTCACAAATAAATATGGTTCCTAAATATTATTTATTCAGAGCATATGACAAATGATGTGTCCATGTTTACTGACTTCATCAAGAAACATCTAGGGGGATTTTCCCGAGGTTCTCCTCTGGTGATGTCAGTGATATACAAATGTTTTCCTTTGTTGGTTTCCTTACTTTCACCACTAGTCCCGACATATGTAGTCTTCGAGGGGTATTTTCTTCTAAGTGACTCCTCTCTATCTTTTTTTACCACACTTGACTTATGTAATAAGCCAACCCTTTTTAATCATCCATTCGATGACATCCTTCAACTGGATGCAATCATCAGTGTTAAGGGTATGACTCTTATGAAAGCAGAAGTACTTCGATTTATCCGTGAGAGGTGTCTCCCTGATGGGATAAGAAGGTTGGATCTATGCCTTCAGAAATTTGAAGTTGGCACAATATTTATAAATCTTCTCCCGATAAACATCCAGGAGGTGTACCTGTCATACCATCCCTACATGCCCCGGTCAGGTTTGTCTCTACATCAGTGGGATCCTTCCCGTCTAGTAGACTAAATTGAGTTTCTAATAATGCAAAATTGTCAAAAGTATGATCAACTTCTCCTCTAAGAGCATGTACAACTTCGTTATAATGAGCACATCCAATAAAGTCTTCACATTCTTCCTTCCTATTTTCAACTTGAAGGGATGGTCTCTCATAAGGACATTCTGGAAGATCCAACACAAAAGGTTGTCTAAACCATAAATCATAAATTATCTAAACCATTTCGTCACGTGCAAATTGACATATGGGGATTGAGATCAGTAGACATGATTAAAAAATGGCGCATCACTTTACATAAGAGAACATACAAGAAAATATACAACGAAGCATCCAAGTGAAACATACAAGAAAATACTTACACAATGAAGGATTGATGTACGACAACGAACAAAAACAAATCAAGAGAAAGAACAAATGTAACCACGTTGTCGATGAAGGAAGGAAGAAACTATGCTGAAAAGAGAGACTAAGAGAGAGACTTTCTAATTTCCATACAAGAAAAAAAATATTTTTTTAATAAAATAAAGTATTTTGGAGGAATTTAGGCCTTTTTTGGGTTTTTAAAAACAAAATTTAGTAGAACTCATAGACTCATAAACTCACCATAGACTCGCGAGTCTATACGAGTTTGTGCGAGTCTACCCGTATCTACTTGAGTCTATAAAAAATGATTTTATATGCGAGTGTATTCGTTTTTGCGTACGAGTTTACAAATCTACCCGCGAGTTTGACAACCATACCACTACCTAAAGTCAAAGAACCTTGTTGACAGAAAGTATTGAATATATCTACAAGAAATATGCATGGACAAAAAAACTATACTTGAAAGACCAAAGGAAGAGCATAACCTGATGAGAATGAATGATATTAATCTGAAACAAACCATAAGGATTACAAATGGTAGTTAAAAATGTACACCAACTTTGAGATACAACTTGCAATAATCATCATTCACATCAATAAGTATGAAATTAAAATTTTTCTTCAGTTCTTTAGGATAAAAAATAGTACATCTGTTAAAAATTTGATGAAGGCGAAAAGCAAGGCTTCGACAATATTGCTTCAAAAGCTCAATCTTTAATATGGAGAGCATAAAAAGACTTGAACACAACTATGACGACAAGGACTAACAACAAACAAATGAAGGGAAGTGAAATTAGAAAGTCTTACATGTGGGTCAAGGTGCTTATACCTCAGCAAATTCTACTTGCTGTTTTATAAAGTATAGATAGAGCGTACAAGTTCACAAAAATAGAAAAAATAAGTTTAAAATGAAAAAAAAGTAAAATAGTATATTGTTCTAGAAATAATTAATGAATGTAACAGATTCAAGAAGAGAAACTTGATGATAAAGTATAGATAAAGCGTACCAGCTCACAAAAATAGAAAAAAGAATAGTTGAAAATGAAAAAAAAGTAAAATAGTATATTGCTCTAGAAATAATCAATGAATGTAACAAATTCAAGAAGAGGAACTTGATGATAAAGGAACATAGAAGTTGCAAGAATGACCTACATGGTTTCACAAATACACGAATCTCTTAAATCAGGGGAAGAACAATTCTTAAGTAATTATTGCATTCAAGTAATGCTATTTCAAGTATAACTTTGAATAATATGTTAGTGCTACAAAGTTCATTACAATGATGATTAATTACAGCTTGAGAATTAGCAGCATAAGGGTTGACTGAAATCAAACCTATAAATAAGTTCGGTTAGTATTTTTGTAACAAGGAGAAGAGTTGCATCATGTAATATTTGTAATCACTGATGGTGAGAAATGAGTATATGAAATAAATCAATGATTCTCCAAACAATTATTGCTCATAATTTGTGGGTGCAGCGGAAGATAAGGTTGAGGAACATAACCCTGTTTTCTCAACTCAGGAAGAAGACTTTTAAGAATCAAATAGATCTCAATAGATTGTGAGTGACTTCCATCGGCAGCAGAAAACAAATGAGTTCCACCATTGACATCAATCCAGCTGTATCCAGGTATCTTTTGAACTCCTTTTTCCTTCATTAAACTTCTAACCTTAAGAACACTTTCCCACTCACCAGCTCCAGCATGTACATTTGAAAGCAAAACATAGTATCCAGAATTTGTTGGGTCTAGTTCAACAAGATGTCTTGAAGCAAGTTTAGCCAGCTCAACATTTCCATGAAGCCGACAAGCACCAAGAAGTGACCCCCAAGTACCTGCATCAGGGGTGAATGGCATGCTCTTTATGGTATCAAATGCTTCGTGCAAACGACCAGCACGACCATACAAATCCACCATGCATGCAAAGTGTTCCATCCTAGCACATATCCTGTAATCCTCTGTCATGCAACGGAAGTAGTATACCCCTTCATCAACTAGACCTGCATGACCACAAGCCGATATTATAACGAGAAAAGTAACATGATCAGGTTGAATCCCAACTTCTAACATCTCATGGAATAGATCCAGGCATTCTCTTGGGCGACCGTGGTTTCCATAGGCAGCAATGATGCTATTCCATGAAACTTCATTCTTGCAATCCATCATGTCAAACACACACCGAGCCAAAGCTAGTTTTCCACATTTAGAATACAAGTCGATTAGTGCACTTGCAACAAAAGTGTCAGAGATAAATGAGTTTCTTACCACAAAGCAATGCAACTCTTTCCCGTTATAGAGTGCTGGTAAATTTGCACAAGCAGACAGAGTAGCAGATAAGCTCACAGCGTCAAACTTTGTTCCACTCATTCCCATTTGACGAAAAAGATCGACGGCCATTTCTGGTTTCCCATTCTGTGAGAAACTTACGATCATCAAGTTCCAGCATACACTATCTTTTTCAGGCATTCTTCTGAAAAATTGATATGCAAGATCCAATCTTCCACATTTTGCATACATATATGTGATAGAAGATCCCACTTGACAAACATTCTCCAGCCCTTTTTTCAGAATACCACAGTGCAATTCCTTTCCAGATTTCAGAGACGCCAAAGCAGCACAAGCCGGCAAAACACTAGCCATGGTCAGGCAATTAGGCATCGTTCCCTCTTGAACTAGCCACCTAAAAATGTTTATAGCTTCAATATTCAGCCCGTTAAGCACATAGCCCGAGATCATAGCTGTGCAAACTGCAACATCAACCAACGTATTCTGCTGGAAAGTCTTGTACGCCATCTCCACATCTCCGCCCTTGAAGTATATGTCAACGAGAGCGCTCTTCAAATAAACATCAAAAGGCACCCCATGCCGCACTATATAACTATGAACTTCCTTACAATGTTTAAGACTCCCAGACTCAAGAATCGAAGGAAGGAAACTTGCAAAAGTAATCGAATCTAGTTTGACTCCACTAGCAATCATTGCTTTTAACAAAGGCGCAGCCTCGTCTGTTAATCCATTCTGCACATATCCAGCAATCAAACCATTCCAAGTAACTGTATCAGTCTGCGGCATCATATCAAAAATCTTTCTCGCATCAAAAAGGCTCCCACATTTAGAGTACATTGTAATAAGTGTGTTTGACAACTGAGGATCAGACTCAAACCCACTCCTAATAACAAGACCATGAAGCTGAATACCAGCACCAAGTATCCCTCTCGTAGCACACACTGACAAAAGACAAACAAACGTAACCGAATTAGCCTTAACGTAAGAGCTCCTCATTTCGTGAAAAGTTCCTAACGCCGAATTAAAATCCCCATTTTTCACATAACCATTAAACATAACATTCCACAAAATACAATCTCTCACAGGCAATTCATCAAACAGACACCTAGCATCATGAACACAACCATTATCCGTATAAACCTTAATCAAAGAACTACCAATAAACAAATCCATATGAAACCCCATCGACCGAGCCAAACCATGAACCATCTTACACAACTTCACATTATTCAAACCACCACAAGCTTTAATCACATAAGGAAATGTATACTTATCAGGTGCAACATTACTACCCAACATCCTAAAGAAAAACATCAAAGCAAAATCAAAACAACCCATCATAGAAAAACCTCTTATCAACCAATTCCAAGGAAGACTATAACATAACTCAACCCTAAAAAACAAATTACCAGCATCATTGAATTTTCCACAAAGAACATACATCCCCAGAATCCTTGAACCCAATGTAACACTATTACCCATTCCTCCAACAACAACTTGACCATGAATTTGCCTAACCTGTTTAACTGCAGACACATCTGAATTCGAACTAGCCCGAAACATAGATTCCAATTGAGCAGCAAAAGATTCTTCCAATAAACGTGATTTTGATAGGACATAATTGCCAGTAGTTGTTGTGTAAGAACTTCGTTGCTTAAATGCATCATAGAGAACGTGTTTTGCTTGTTTGAATCCAAGTTTATAGTTCATGGCAGAATAAACAACTGTTGCAGAAAACAAAAACGGAAAATTCAGCTATGTTGTTTTTCGAAAATGGGGTGAAAGTGTTATTTAGATGAAACTGAGGGAGGTAAATGTAATTTTCAAATATAAATATATAAGAATTTGTTGAACCTTGAAGAGAGTTAAGTTCAGACTTCAGAGTGTAGTGAAATGGGATTTGGCGGTGGTTTGAAGGCGGCGATGTTAATGTCGTCGTCGCTGAGTCACGTGCGTCCGATAACGTGCGCTTCGTCGTCGCGGTTAGTGTCGCATCCACACGATCTTGTGAAATGGGTAACAAGAGAAGGTGGTTTTGTGCACCGTGCGGTGAAGATAGCGCAACTTGATTCCGGTGGTTTAGGGTTAGGGTTAGTGGCTAAGGAAGAAATTCCGATTGGTAGTGAACTGATTGTTCTTCCTCAACATCTTCCTTTGCACTTTACGTCTTTTCATCAGGATTCGAATGATGATGAGAACTCTCTGCTACTTCAATTGAGCTCTCATGTTCCTGGTAAATTCATTTTCTCAATTTTGTTTCAATCTTACTTTACTTCTTCAATTTCAACTTAATTCATAAGCAATTTGAGACTGTTTGGGAAGAGTTTATGAATATTGCTTAAGCTTATCACATGTACATAAGTTCTTTATAGATAAACAGCTTAATTAAGTTTTTATCCTCCTTTTAAAAAAAAAAAATATTTTCGCCCTTTAACACAAGGTATAAGGTACAAGGCGATCTAGAAGTAGTCAATCCTTGAAGCTTCATGATAATGGGATGATCAATTTCTCTGAACCATTGTGTTGAAGTATTAGTAGTTTTAGATTAATTAGATCTAAGGGCTGTTATTAGATCTAATATTACATCTATACAGCTGTGTATATATATCCATTGTATTGCCACTTGTACTCTTATCCAAAAATGAAATAATAGAATCCAATACATTTTGAGATCAATCTTATCTTTCAAATCGTTCCAAACATCGATAGCATTTTCCATGCATGATCCACGAATGTACAAGCATATTGCAACGAGTCCAAGCTCGAAAGGTTGGATCGAACGAATCAGTAGGAATTTGAATCGTGCCATCCACAAAATCAAATTTCATCTTTCCACCGAGTGCGCGACGCATCGATCTTGCCCAGCTATGGTAGTTAGAACCATTGAGAACAGGGGTAATGGAGATCGAAGAAGGGCCATCACTAGGATGCACATAATATGGGCTGGTAGGATCAAGAATTGGATCGAGAGAAGATGAAGCGGAAGCAGTATTACGCGGAGGAGCCATGGATGTACAAGCTCAATGATACCATGTTAAAGTTATTTTCATGGAAGTCATAGATGAATCTTTGAAGAAGAAGAAAGTATAACAAAATTGTAACAGAAAAATATAACAGAAAAAGAATAGGGAAAAATAAGATTGATCTCAAAATGTATTGGATTCTATTATTTCATTTTTGGATAAGAGTACAAGTGGCAATACAATGGATATATATACACAGCTGTATAGATGTAATATTAGATCTAATAACAGCCCTTAGATCTAATTAATCTAAAACTACTAATACTTCAACACATTGTCTCCTTTGCCATGAACCTTATATTAGAGTAATCCTAGCTTAGCTTCATTCAGTTGAATATGTGATGTAATGTAACTAACTGTTCTGAGGCAGCACAGCTAGCCTTATAAATACTCAGTTCTAAACTGAGATGTAACTAACTTTAATAACGAGAATTCCGAGATTCAGTTAGACCTAAATTCTCTCTCCTCTCTCTCTCTCTCTTCTCTCTTTCTTCTACATTCTCGCACTTTCTGTTATGGTATCACGAGCTTGACACGATCCATATACATGGCTTCCGATGTTGATTCAATCAACATGGCTTACAACTTTCGATTCGAAGAATGTATTCAAGACATTCACGCAGAAAATGACACTCAAACTTGATGAAAACAACTTTCGATCAGGAAAGCAACAGATGTAAGGTATTATTCGCACGCACAACTTCATTGTCTTCTGGTTAGTCCAGCTATTCCTTCGCGCTACCTAAATGAAGATGATCGCGCCAATGACTCAGAGAACCCTGCATATGTGAGGTGGGAGCAGCAAGACTCGTTTATCTTCACGTGGCTCCTCAACACTTTCAGATTCAATGCTTCCTAATGTAATTTGATGTGTTCATTCTCATCAAATATGGAACGAAGTTCATAAGTACATTTTTTCGCACACCAATGCCAAGTCACGACAGTTGAGATCCAGTTCAAGTCTATCACAAAAGGTGAGAAATCTATTACTGAATATCTAGCTAGGATTCAACGCATTGTTGATATTCTTGATTCCTTTGATGGTCTGATCTCACATCGTGATCAACTTGAAGCTATTCCTGATGGATTACCTAATGAAATAGGCAACAGATGTATATGTGATGTGAAAATAAAAACTCTACATTTTAAGAGTCCCACATTGTTTGTAATAGAAATAGAAATAGTATTTATATAACAAAGAAACACAACTCTAAATGAATTGAAAATGCACAGATATGGGTAAATGGGCCTTTAATCAAGTAAATAAAAAATGGGTTTAAGCCTAAATAATATATTTTGAAGGCCGAGTGGTTCCTGGTCTGGAGCGATTTCTCACCCGCTATCCTTTTTCCCTCAAAAAAACTGAAATTACCACTTAACTTTACAATGATTTAAGGATAATTTTGGTTTTTCATTGAAATCAGAGTTGGGACTCAACCTCAATAATCTTCTGATTTATAGTTCTATAGTTCCTTCATAGTTGTTTGATTTATGAATATTTTATAAGTCAGAGTTATTTGTTTAGTTTTACATTAAATAGAGTGGTCATTCCACTATATGCTATCCACCTATCCCACATTTAGGGTCGGTCGTTCCGCGCCACTGTCTTGTTTATAGGTCATTTAAAAATAGTTTGACTGTTTTAATAATTTGTTATATGAATTTTTCAATAATTTGTTATATGAATTTTTTAATAATTTGTTATATGAATTGCTTATATATAAGTAAAACATTTATGCTATAAATGTTTAATTAAGCTGACGATTCAAACAGATGCCTAGAAAGCAATAACATAGATAGTATAAAAAGTATTGAGTTCTCAATGTTGAATAAGTTGGACAATGTGATAGCATTTGGCAGATGAACTATGGGCAATGAAACTGGGTTTGAAGCTTCTCCGTGAGAGGGCAAAACTTGGATCTTTTTGGTGGCCATATATCAGTAATCTCCCAGAAACATACACTCTCCCTATCTTTTTTCCAGGGGAAGACATCAAGAATTTGCAGTATGCTCCTGTTCTTCACCAGGTACTATCTTGTTATTCATCGAGGACTGAATCGTATATGAAATAGTATTAATGTTTCATGGCCTCTGCTCTGCAATATGGCAAGCTAATTTTTGTCGAATTCGTGAGATAGGTAAACAAAAGATGCCGATTTCTTCTTGATTTTGAGAAACAAGTCAAGCGTACGTTAGTTGGTGTTACACCAGATAAGCATCCTTTTGGTGGTCAAGAAGTAGATGCTTCGTCTCTTGGATGGGCGATGTCAGCAGTTTCATCCAGAGCATTCAAGTTGCATGGTAACAAGAATGCAAATGGGATGAACTTTGATATACCAATGATGCTCCCTCTAATTGACATGTGTAATCATAGTTTTGATCCAAATGCTAGAATTGTTCAGGAACAAGAAACCGGAAGCACAAACATGCGGGTGAAGGCATGTTTCTTTTTACTTGCACAAATCAAATTCTGCGTTTTAGAAACAAATATTGATTTATTCTTTGCTGACGAATTCAATCTTTGCATTAGGTTGTGGCCGAGAAAGTAATCAAGGAAGATGACCCTTTATTACTCTGCTACGGATGTTTAAACAATGATCTTTTCCTTCTTGATTACGGATTCGTGATACAATCAAACCCTTATGACTGTATCGAGCTCAGATATGATGGTGCTCTTTTGGAGGCTGCAAGCACGGCAGCTGGAGTTTCTTCACCAAATTTCTCCACACCTGCTCCATGGCAGGAACTTATTTTATCACAACTAAATCTATCCGGAGAAGCTCCTGATCTCAAGGTCCGTTCCACAGAATTCTACGACTGTTCTTAGTTATTAACCTTAGAACTAGAACCATAATGTCACAATTTGATTTATTTGTAACAGGTGAGCTTAGGTGGTGAAGAAATAATCGAAGGCCGATTATTGGCTGCACTGAGAGTACTCCTTGCAAGTGATAAGGAAACTGTACAAAAGTATGACCTCAACACACTCCAGTCATTAGATGCCGAGGCTCCACTTGGTGTTGCAAATGACATTGCTGTATTCCGTACCTTGATCGCTCTCTGTGTCGTTGCACTCGGACACTTTCCGACCAAATTAATGGATGATGAATCTTTATTGAAGCAGGGTGCTTCAGGTTCAACAGAGTTAGCAATTCAGTTCAGAATCCAAAAGAAGTCTATAATTATAGATGTAATGAAAAACCTTGCTAGGAAGGTAAAGCTTCTTTCATCAAATGAGACAGTAACTGCTGAAGGCTAAGATTCAACACTTTGTGGCATGATTCTCATCTCGAATCTTCTTTTGTATTGTTTTGTCATGTGACTTTTATTCTTTAAGATTCTAACTGTATTATGTTTTCTTGTAAGATGTTACAGTCAATAATGACTGCATTTTAATTCTACATTATTTAATTGCAATCTTAGAATTTGATAGTAATATACGAGTACTTAGTTTTTCATGGAAGTCAAGATATGAAGACTGAAAAAGTGTCCCAAATATTTTTTACTATGATATTTTTATTTATTGACTTTTACTCTATTCACTCTATTCATCATTCAACTAAATTAGTTGGATCATTATAATTAATTTGGTGTAACTAGTTTTTGTAAAAAGATTAGGCACAATTTGTTTTTAGTCAACTAAAAAATAAGTTGAATATGATATTTTATATTTTATTCTATTATTCAATCAAATGATTAATTTTTACTTTAGGTATCATGATTCTGATGAGATGCCTTGATTTTGTAAAAAAAACAAAAATAAAAACGCATAACAATTAATCTAAATAAAATATTTTAAGAGTAAATGAAATAGAGATTAATATTCATGAGTAGATATTTATTAATAATGATAATATTAACCCGTGTCCTTAGACACATGTTAAGTTTGTGTTGAAATAATAATAAAAATATTAATTATTAACTTTTAATTAAAATAAAATTATAGTAATTTATAATTTTAAGAGAGAGAATATATATAAGATGAAAAAAAATTATCTTAATTTTTACAAAACACATTTATAGCATATAATACATATGAAAAGATACACACTTACTTTCAATAAATAAAAAATAGACAATATAAAAAAATAAGTATTTTTTTGGAAACAATAATCCCTGATTATTACTTAGAACTTATTCTGTAATAAAATAGAATAAGTAGTATATATACGCCAAATTAAATGTCAACATTCATATTTAATTAATATTTATTACGTACAGTAGAGTTTACCTGTAAAATAAAAAAATACATAATTTATTTGTTAATTAAATTTGTGACATCATAAACATGAACCATATAATCCGTTTGTACACGTGGTGGTTAAGATTCATATCACGTGTTGATCCTTAATCAAAGTTCCGTTCCGTCTTAGAAGATGAAGAACTAATCAAACCTCTTCCCCTAAACCAGGATTCACACGTCATTTCTCATTCTCGTTTCGACAAACACAAACATAAAACAAATTAGAGATTCATCTTGATGAGATTCATGTTCATGTTCATACAAGATCGAATTCATATCTAAAAGTCTCTGCAGTTGTTCGCAGACGGTATTCGAATATACAATTATAGAACGCAAGATGAAATATAAGAAGAAAATAGTTGAAGAGAAACCATACTAGTTATAAGTATTAAGAGCAATATGATGTACAAGAGAGTTATGAGAAACAGAAACTAGTGAAACTGAAAAAACATAAACTAAAACATATATGATTCTAATTAATCTCTAAGAGTGACCAATAAGGATGGTTCTTTCTGATAATCCAAGAGGAGAACGAGATCGAAGACGTTTAACATCTTTGAGTCTTGTCGTATACAAATCAGCCTCCAATGAAGGTTGTTTGATTTTCTCTATTTCTTGTTTGATTTTAATCACTTGGCTATGAACAGCAAGACCAACATAAACATCTTCATCACTTCTCTTCATCGTATTCTTCGAATCCATCTTTTTCCTAACTCTGAAAATCGTAACCCAAATTGTTCTTGCCTTTCCAATTTCGAATATGCTATTCAAGGATACGTTCTTCTATATATATATGCCTTGGAAGGCTAATATATTAAATTGGGTCAAAACTCAAAACACGTAGTATATATTTATTCGGAAAATAATTTCTTCTTTTTTTTAAAGGAATATTTATTTCTTCTACATTTCAATACACGTGTGCTACTCAATAATATTACATGATTTCTTACCAAAATGACCACACCAATATCTCATCTATAAGTGCAACTTTCATTCAAAGCCAAACTCACGCCAAAATTTTGGTATTATCAACTCATATTGTTTATTTGACATAATTCTAAACACATTCAATCTTTTCTTTTTCTAGATCAATTCGTTCTATATAAAAGAGTTTGAGGAAAAATAATAACTTATATTGTTATTATTTTATTTTATTTTTAGTTATAGAAATTATATAATAGCATTTTTATGGTCAATCTAATATTAATGTTAATATAATTTCATGATGAACTCTTACTATTTATAGTAAAAACAACTTTCTAATAATTAAAAAAATACTAAAGTAATTTAATATTGTAATATTACTATTTATAGAAAATAAATTTTTCTAATGACTAGAGAAATTCTAAAATTAAAAAAAAAAAATGAATCGAGTCCATATTATGTCCCATATTTTTTTGTATCAATTATTTTTTATATTATTTCATTAAAATATCTTAATTTTAACAAAATTGTTGTAATAAAAAATATACGTGTGCATTGCATAGCCTCTTTTTTTTTTAATTAAATAATTTAGTTATTAATTTTTTGGCATCAACTTTAAAAGTATTTTTCATGTTTTTATATTGAAAGATTTCATTCTATATGTGTTATAGAATGCTTTTTTAATATTTTTAAATTTCTTAAAAAAACAAGTATTTTTATATATCAATTAATCATTATCATTTCCTTCGAGTGGCATTATTTTTGCAAAATTGACGTGATAAAAATATCTTTAGTTATAAAACTAATTATTGACGTCTTTTTATTCCATAAAAGAAAATAATGATCTCATTATATTCAATATCACCTACCAAAAAAAAAACGAAATTAAAAATATCATTTCAATAGATCAATAAAAAAAAACTTGAGATTGAATAGTGATCAAACACGTGGAAGAAACCCATCAAATTTGCATTATCAAGGGTAATTATGTCAATTCATTCCACAACTTTTCTTCCATTTTTTCCAACACCTTAGAAAGCTTTTAATCAAAATTTCTTTAACATCTTCATCCATGGCCACGTTATTAGAACGACAACAAGAGAAGCCACGTGAGCCAATAGAAATTGACAATGTGTAATTCAATAATTATATATTTTATTTATAATGTATACTTCAATATCCACTATGCAATTTAATTAAATTTATTTATAAATTGTGAGATTGTTAGTCATACACGTGTGAAAGGTATATTAAGGAGGCTGGTCAACTAAAAAACTTTGAAAAATAAATATGAATCGGTTAAAGATAAAAGAAGTTGACCTATATATAAATAGAATTATAAAATTCGGTCACTAGTAAATGCTAGTGAACCATAATCATAGTACTCATTTTAGCATCTCATTACTAAAAATACAAAGGATTTCTTGCAGATTTATCTGCGATTTATGGTTCCCAATTAAATGTTTAATGGGTAATATTTTTGATAGAAAGATCTACAAGAAAAATTCGGAGCTATATTTATAAAAAATTATTCAAAGATATATCTGCAAGAAATATAAATTTGTAAGTAAATCTGCAGAAAATATCTATCTAATAATTTTTAATTTCTAAAATATTATAAATTATAAAATATCTATCTAATAAACTATTAATATTCATTTGTCCACTCAACTTCAAAAGATTAAACTATAGAAATTATAACAAGTCAACAAGAAAAACAGTATAAATTAGAACTCATTACTAAGGTCTTCTTTATCTGATTCTTCATCTTCATTTGTTTGATCACTTTCATTAGTGGATTGTGGTGGATGAGAAGATGACCCAACAAATTTCAAATAATTCATTAAAAATGAAATTTTATTATTTGCTTCGATCATCTCTTTTCTGGTCAATGCAATTGTTGCCTTATCTTCAGCTTCTCTTGTTCTTGTCTTTGCAACAATGCATTTAAAGCATGAACTTAACTTCTCAAAGCATCAACCTCTTGAGAGTCACTCGAAACACTTGAAGGTTTATTTGATACTGAAATCAAAGTCTTGGAAACGATTTCAAGACCAAATACCCTCCCTTTCTTCTTTCCAACCGACTCTAAATCAGGTGGAATTTTAATAGTTGGTTGACTACCAGCTTCATCCTCTCCCAGAATAGTTGGATTTTGAGAAGAAATCTCCAACTTTTTCCGTTCAAATTTATCCTAAAAGAAAATTTAAAAAATAGTAAGGAATTAAATTCAATAAAAGTGATACTTTTCAAAAGAATTGTGTGCAAATTTGAAATTCAATTAAATTAACATTTTCCAAAGCACTCACATATGCAGATTCGACATGAACTCCTACACAACTTTGATCCTTTTTCCGATGTGTGTGAAAATAGAACTTCGTCAATGATGGATCTACATCCTTTTTCTTTTTCTAAAATTACAAAAGAAACAAGAAATAATGTCATTTATTAGATACTAATATGAGAAATTTAATGAAAAACTTATAATACATACCATTCTTTTCTAATGCAAACGATGAGGAACATATCCTCAAGTGTGAAGAGATGCACCATCCATAGAACACCGATTCCTTTTATTTGTTTGAGATGAGTTTTTTAACTGGGAGGAATTCCAATGTACCAATAATTTCTTCCACACATCATCTCCCATCCAGCCCTGTTTGTCAGCTTAATTTTTGTGAACTTCTTGCATTAGTTGGGACATCTTAGCCGCAACTCTTTTTCAAAGTTACGTCACACTGTAACCTTATGTTCTGGTGGCCATGTAAAATTTTTCTGTATCAAAATAATCAATATATGAGGATTTGAACATAATTCAAAACCATGTACTACACCTATTTTGTAATTAAACATGGAAGCATAGTGTGATACGGTGAGAGAACTGACTTGATGTTTTTCGTTTCGTTCGCACTTATGCGGTTAGCAAGAGTCGCCACCGACTTTTCTTTTTTCCAAAAGGAAAGGTAAAAAAGCACAGGAAAGACCTTTCGAGATTTTTCTCGGGTTCGGGGGGTAGATTATGAAAAGGGAAGGTATTAGTACCCTTTTCATCCATGGTTTTCCATGGGCTCTTAGTTACTCGTTTAGATCACTTGCTTTTATTTGACTGTGTGCTTGTGGTATGGGCTTTGAAAGTATTTTTGTAAAATCTCTTTGTAATGGTTCTCGTCTCTATAAGAACGTATACAAAGTTTTGTTTCGAAAAAGTGGTTCAAAGATGTGTTTGTGAATCGTGTTTCGAAAAGTGTTTTGAAAATAGGTTTTGCAATGGTTCTCGTCTCTATAAGAACGTATACAAAACGTTTTGTCTTTTTGAGGATGTTTTGAAATGGAAGTGTAGGTGTAAGAGTTTTTTTTGTCGTGAGCAAGCGAGTAACTAAGAGCGAATCTATCTACTCGAAAGGTCTTAAATTATTCTTTTCTTCTTCCTTTTAATGGTGCTATCTTACCATTGATTTGGTAAGAAGCCCCACCATTGGATGTGAAGGGACAGGCACGAGTCAATTTTACAATCATTGAAGGCAACTTGTGAGACGCTTTAGCAATTTTCGTAAAGGACGAGATCGTTTTAATCAAAGGCAACATCGAGGGTCATCGAGGGACTACGATCTTTTTTATCGAAGGGTCGTTGCTAGAGTGTCTCATATTAGAGGGACATGATTGTATTTCCGAGGCAACAAGCGAGGTTACCCTAGAGGTGCGCATGTGAGAAAGTGTGTTGGTTTCAAGTTATTTATTCTTTGATTAGGTCATCTAGCGATTGATTTTTAAATCTTGCCATACACGCCTAATTACTATACAGTATATAGAAAGCAATAAATTGTGGGAATTGAAATTTTAAGATATTACAGAATGTTCGGGAATGGGGGTACAATTGTTACAAATGGGGGATGAATCAAATGAAAATAGCAATGTCCAAATATCAAACAATACAATCAAATTGAATTTTGTGCGATTTATATAAAACTATGACAATTCATGAAAATAAAATCAACAAAGTATGAAATGAAATGTATTTACTTGAAAAAAGAAAAATAAAACCTATTCTAAAATTGATTAAATTAAAAACCTTATTATTTTTATATTCTTATTAAGTATGTAAAATTAAACCTAAGACAAGTTTAAAAAAAAAAGAAAATGATAAAAATTAATTATATAAAAAACTAAATCAAATAAAAAAAAAACTTAAGTTATATTAATACATGGTATAATGAAAAGAAATAAATAAAAAAAAGCAAATGGGCTTTGGATTTAGATGAGAGGCCCAAGAGAAAAAGGTATTTTGCTGTTAACAAAACGGGCCAAGGGGGGGTGTATCCAGAAAAACGCGTTGGCTTAAGGAGAATGGGAACAAAACAGGCCCAACCTTTAAACTGTTTAAGCGTTTGATTAAGGGTGGAAAATGAATTAGGGTTCTAAGACCCTTTGTTACAGCGGCGCCGCTCATCTCCTTCGTCCCTCTCTGTTCATCTTTTGTTCATCCTAACTCTTCCATTTTTTTCATCTTCTCACCTTATCACTCACCTCTTCCTAATTTCATGAACAAAACACTTTTGGCCTCTCTAACTCATCCTGATTTGCGTTCTTTTCTGAAAACCCTAAGTTTGAAATGAATTTATGTCTAATGGGTTCAAAATTTGTTTATCTGATCCTCCCTCCCCAGATTTCTGTTGCCGGAGCGCCCCTCAATCTCACCTCCTTAAACAATTTCTAGCGACTTTCCTTGAAAAGGTACGGTTCTGTTATTAGTGAAGCTTACGAATTCATTGTTTGTTTTGTCTTGTTACGCTTTTCTGTTAATCTACTTTGTTATCCATTGAGATGCAGAAAATAGCTTTTAGGGATTTATGAGAAAGATGAAAAGTTCATACCTGTTTGGAACTCTTCTGTGAAATGGAAAGGGATTATGAGACTGAGGGTGGCGCTCCCTGGTGGCGGGACTTGCGAGGGGGAAGAAATGAAGATTGAAGGCGCGCTTCTGGTAACCTTTTTTCTATCTTCTTTGTTGAAGGATAAGGATGTTGTTTGATGGATTTTGGGACTCTTATGATTGTTTACTGTGTTTTCTTTTGTTGTGATGAGGATTGTTGGTTGTCTTCTGGGTTGTTTGAGGCTTGCTGTTGTTTTATCAGTTTGAATGGTTTACTGGTTTTTTTGATGATGGTTGTTGGTTTTGATGATAGTTCTTTTTTTTGGTTTTGGTTTTGGATATGTTTTGGTATTTTGAGGTTGTTATTGGTTTGAACAGTTTGAAGGTTGTGTTTCAGTTTGAGGTTTATGTTTTTTTCTGTTGGGGCTTGACCACTGTGTTTTGTTGGTTGGTTTAGTTTGATGGTGTTTTGGTTTTGTTAACAGTTTGAGATTTATGGTTTTGATTTGTGGATTTGTTAATGTTGAGTTAACATGTTTTGGTTATAGGTTTCGTTTTGTTATAGGTTTGATGGATGATGGTTTGAAGGTTGGTGATTCTGGTTTTTTCAGTTTGTGAAATTGTATTTTGGGTTTTGGATGCTTGGACAATTTGTTACAAGTTTTTCCGTTTGAGGATGGTTCTGTAAGCTTGAAGCTTGAGACTTTTTTTTGTTTTGTTTTGGATATGTTTTGGTTATGGATTTTGACAGGCTTTAGAGGTTTTGTGATTTGTTTCTTGCTGTTGGTTTGAGATTTGTTCCTGATTTTTGGAACTTTGACAGTTTTGAAAACTTGAGGGTTTTTTGAGGTTTTTGAAGTTTGATAATTTTTTTCTATATCCTCACCTGCTTGAGAGTTTTACTGTTATATTGATGTTGCTTTGGTTGAATTCTTATTCAAAATGGTGGGAAAACCATCAAATTTTGAATATTTTGGCATCTTGTTCTTATGCCCTTTTGTTGCAGTTTTTGTTTTCTAGCAACTTCTATGCAATTGTTACAGTCAAGGCAGCAGGGCTGTGCATCCCTAGGTGACTTCTTTCCTCTCTTCTCTTTCAATGACACTAGGAAAGCAAATTGCTTTTTGCCCCTTTTTCCAATTCTGAAAAGTTTGCAAAAAAATGGAACATGATAACTTAGCCTATTGAACAAGCCTTTGCTTGTTTGACTTATTTTATTATATTGCTATACTTTATTTGTGTTTCCTACTGTCTAGTTTATGTTGTTGCCTCGCTTGCATTTTGTATTGCCATGCTGCTGTTTTTTTTGCTGTTTGTTGCAAATTTTGTTTGGCTCAGTTTGCGCCTTCTGTTTGGGAATATTTGTTTGGCTGTTGTTTGGGCATTTGGCTGTTGTTTGGGCATTTGGCTGATGTTTAGGCATTTTGTTTGTTTGGACAGCCTTGCTGCATTTGGACAGTTTTGTAGCATTTCTTTCTTTCTTTCTTTTTGTGAACCAAGAAGAATAATCTTCTTGTGATTTGCAAATAAGGGAAATAAAATATGATGAATAACGACATTCTGATTCCACTTTGCAAACTTTAATGATGAATACTTTTTTTTCTTTTGAAAATTCTTGCTCATGCCCAAATAAATTGTACTAACTATTTTTCTTTCTTTTGTTTTCATGTGAGCACAATTGGAGAGGACAAAGCATGGAAGGCAAGAAACTTTGTGGCAAGCATGGAAGCAAAGGAACTTCAGTCAACCTTAGGCACAGATCCATTTGGATTTTCTTTGTAATTTAGAGAGAAACATTCTTGTATTGTAATCAACAATTGTACTAATTTATTTTTTAAATACCATAAGTTGTAAAACATAGAGTATTTAAAAGAACAAATTATTTTGTAACAATGTTTGGAAAAAAATGGAGAAAGTCTTATGAGATATTTTGGTGTCCATTGAAATCCTTTACTGTCAAGAACTTGTAATTTTCTCTTCGCATCTTCACTGATTCTTAAAGATTCCCAATCAAGATAATTGAAACAAAATGCTCCCATCTGATAATTTAAATTCCAATAATTTTGTAATCTTGCAACTGCATTCCAAACAAACACGCACTGTCTATTCCATTTCCTAAACAAGCAAATGTTTTAAAAGACGCAAATCATCTGGTTAACCTGGATTAAATGATCATGAGTACCTTACGTGGCATTCTTAAATTCTATCTCTTGTCCCAAACAACCATGCCTTGAGAACAAACACCGTCCTTTCAGTAAACTTGAGAAAGCATGAAAACCTGTGAAAGCCAATTGGATCTTTGAGAATTCATTTCTTTTGAGAATTGCAAGAAAAACCCTAATTGCTGGTTTACTGCCACAGAAGAAAATCTGTCTGATCGATTCCTGAGCCAACTTGAATATCTGAGAAACCTTAGGGTTGTGCTTTCTATGAAAAATGGGAGGGAAAATTTTGGGGTACAACAGCTGCCCCTGTTCAATCTTCTTGAACCTGAAGAGTTAGATCGGCGAGTTTTGGCGTTCGTGACTTGAAGGTAAAAGATGATTGGACACTAGAGTGCCCATGAATTTGCGCTCGACAAAAGTGTAATTGAGGGAATGGGCTTAAAGATGCCATTTGGAGAGATG